TGCAGCATGACTTTATATTCTGTACTGTACATTATTTCTGTTAAGTGACAAGACTTTAGTCTAAGCAAAGTCAGAGCTTACTGTCCTAATTAAATCATTAAAACTCAAGGCATGGTCGTATTTTATGTAGGTGAAATAAGCGTAATCTAGAGGCCTTTGCCTTTCATATAAGCCACTTCTGATACCAAATGATTAACTAGAAGTCAAGTTATTATTTGTTGTTCCCAAAACTTGGATAGGCGACAGGACTTTTGTCAGGCAGTGTATTTGTGTTTGGCAAAATCTTTTATGTAAGTGTATACTTAAGGGTTAATGGGTTAACTGTCTATCAACAATAAAAATGACCAATTTGACCTCTTCTCAACAAGGAAAACCACCATCAATCAATAATGCATGGTGTCATGGCTTTGCAATAAAAAAAATTGGTTATAATGGAAGTCAATGGGGCAAAAACAGCCACCAACATAACGAAAGGGTAGTCAATTAGAACAATACACAAGGGTTAAAGTATATAGGTCTGCAATAGTGATTGATTAAACAAACACACATATTGTATTTGTAAATAAAGATGTTCTTTTTTTTTTTAGTCTGATTGCTTCTCTCAGTGGTTCTTTTATATAAATAATGTACCCCAAAGATTACTGAGGGCAAAACTTATTTTTAGGCTGCAAACAATCATAAACAAAACATGTCCTGCAAAATGCTGGAGGGAGAGTTGATTTGAAACGAAAGGAGGAGTAAGTGTCGTTGTGAATAAATGCAATATACAGTGCATCCAAGAAGTATTCACAGCGCTTCACTTTTTCCACATTTTTTTAGGTTACAGTCTTATTCCAATATGGATTCAATTCATTTATTTCCTCAACATTCTACACACAATACCCCATAAAGACAATGTGAAAAAAGAGTGTTTGAAATTGTTGCAAATTTATTACAAATAAAAAAACCCTGAACAACCACATGTACATCAGTATCCACAGCCTTTGCTCAATACTTTGTTGATGCACCTTTGGCAGCAATTACGGCCTCAAGTCTTTTTGAATATGATGGCACAAGTTTGGCACACCTGTCTTTGGGAGTTTTTGCCCTCTCCTCTTTGCAGTACCTCTCAAGCTCTATCAGGTTGGATGGGAAGCGATGGTGTACAACCATTTTCAGATATCTCCAGAGATATTCAATAGGATTTAGGTCTGGGCTCTGACTGGGCCACTCAAGTTCATTCGCCAACTTGTTGTGAAGCCACTCCATTGATATTTTGGCTGTGTGCTTTGGGTCATTGTCCTGCTGGAAGATGAACCGTCGCCCCAGTCTGAGGTCAAGAGCACTCTGAAGCAGGTTTTCATTCAGGATGTCTCTGTACATTGCTGCATTTGTCTTTCCCTCTATCCCGACTAGTCTTCCAGTTCCTGCTGCTGAAAAACATCCCCACAGCATGATGCTGCCTCCACCATGGTTCCCTGTAGGAATGGTATTATCCTGGTGATGAGCGATTCCTGGTTTTCTCCAAACTTAACGCCTGGCATTCACTCCAAAGAGTTCAATTTTAGTCTCATCAGACCAGAGAGTTTTGTTTCTTATGGTCTGAGAGTCCTTCAGATGCCTTTTGGCAAATTCCAGGCAGGGAGTGGCTTCCGTCTGGCCTCTCTACCATACAGGCCTGATTAGTGGATTGCTGCAGAGATGGTTGTCCTTCTGTAAGGTTCTCCTCTCTCCACAGAAGAACGCTGGAGCTCAGACAGTAACCATCGGGTTATTGATCACCATCCTGACTAAGGCCCTTCTGATCACTCAGCTTAGATGGCGGGCCAGCTCTAGGAAGAGTCCTGGTGGTTTCAAACATTTTCCACTTATGGATGATGGAGGCCGCTGTGCTCACTGGAACCTTTAGAGTAGCAGAAATATTTCTGGAACCTTCCCCAGTCTTGTGCCTCGAGACAATCCTGTCTCGGAGAGCTACAGACAATTCCTTTGTCTTCATGCTTGGTTTGTGCTTTGACATGCACTGTCAACCCTGGGACCTTATATAGACAGGTGTATGCCTTTTCAAATCAACTGAATTTACCACAGGTGAACTCCGGTTAAGCCGCTGAAACATGTCAAGAATGATCAGTGGAAGCAGAATGTACCTGCGCTCAATTTAGACCTTCACGGCAAGGGCTGTGAATACTACATGTGATTCTTTGTCATTTTAAGGTATTGTGTGTAGAATATTGAGGAAATAAATGAATTTAATCAATTTTGGAATAAGACTATAAAATAAAAATATGTGAAAAAGTGATGCGCTGTGAATACTTTCTAGATGCACTGTGAACTCTCCATCAGCTGCTGCACATAAACACACATCCAGTGTTTGCTGTAAAAGGGTTTGATCTGTATTCACTAGGGCTGATGTGGTGTGTGGAGGAATAGATCCATACAGAAGTGTTTGTAGTGAATAAGGTAGAGATGTTGTGCTCTGTAAAGCGTGTACTTGAACTGCTGACACTGCTGAAGATAACACAGCAGATATGCAACACGCAGCGCAGTGGAGGATCAACTGAAGGAGGAACGCAATGCTCTGTGTTTTCTGGATGTTTCCCCTGTGGCGCTTACTGATGCTCTCTGCTCCAGTTTACCACTGCTGAAAATCCCAGAGGATTGAGCTCTACACATCTAACTGATCTCTACATGCAGGAGAGCTCGCCCAATCACACTGCATATAACCTGACTTACTATAGAAATGAAGCATACAGTACATTCAGATGCATTTACCTTTAAATAAAGGCCACCATTAGAATAGACCCGACTGAAAAAATCAGTATTAACTACTGTCATGCAATAGTTTATTTAGTTCATTCATTTTCCTTCAGCTTAGTCTCTTATTTATCAGAGGTTGCCACAACGGAATGAACTGCCAACTATTCCAGCATATGTTTTACGCAGCAGCCAGATGCCCTTAACAGTTTTGTGATTTGCAAGTGTTTTCTGTTTATTTACCATTGTGAATTGCATTATGGGATGTTGGTCTCTGCTCTGTCAACTTTTGATGTTGGAAATCCAACTTTTATTGACATTTTAGTTGTTTAAAATAATATAATATATAAGAAATAATATAAAGAAAAATAAGACTGTACTGTGATGCTAAAATACATTGATTTGTGTAGATTTTCATTTATAATAATTAAATAAAATGCTTCTATATTTGCCTATGCCAGGTTTGATTCAATTAAAATACGTAGACTCACCATTAAACAGAGCAGCAAAAAAAAAAAATCACCAATTAAAATACAATTAAACATTCCATATCATCTCCTATTGTGGATGATTACATTAAAATATGTGGATCTACTGTATGCGAAGCTGCACAGTTTTCATTTAAAACTTTCATAACCTATCATTTTTAATGTTTAATCTACTGTGAATATAAGCCATATTTACAATTAAAAAAATATAATTAAATTTACAAATATACACGTTTCATGAAATAAAGACACAAAAAATTACAAAGTGAAAGATGTGACACGAATATTTAAAAAAATATATTAAAATGAAATATTATGTATTAGCCGCTGTCAAGCTTAATTAGATATAAAAAAAGAGATCAATGAGCTAAAATAAAAAATACATATTCTGTATCAGTCACTGTCAAGCCTGATTTGAATAAAATAAAAATTGATAAATATATGCTAAATATTCTCTACCACCCATTGATTTTACAGTAATCAATGAGGTAAAATAAAATAAAATATTCTGTACAAGTCACCGTCAAGCCTGATTTGATTAAATCAAAATTGAAGAAAATCAACATGCTAAAATAAAATAAAATAAAATAAATAAATAAATTAAATATAATAAAAAATATAAATAAACAAATATATATATTAATATTTCCCAAATTATGTTTAACAGGGCAAGGAAATTTTCACAGTATGTCTGATAATATTTTTTCTTCTGAAGAAAGTCTTATTTTGTTTTATTTCGGCTAGAATAAAAGTTTTTATTAATTTTTAAAACACCATTTTAAGGTAAAAATTATTAGCCCCTTTAAGCTATTTTTTTGATAGTCGACAGAACAAACCATCATTATACAATAACTTGCCTAATTTCCCTAACTTGCCTAATTAACCTAGATAAGCTTTTAAATGTCACTTTAAGCTGTATAGAAGTGTCATGAAAAATATCTAATAAAATATTATTTACTGTCATCATGACAAAGATAAAATAAATCAGTAAATGAGTTAAAAAAATTATTATGATTAGAAATGTGTTGAAAAAAATCTTCTCTCCGCTAAACAGAAATTGGGGGAAAAAAAACAGGGGCTCTAATAATTGAGGGGGGCTAATAATTCCTACTTCAACTGTATGTATCAGTCACTGTCAAGCCAAATTTGAATAAAAACAAAATTGAGGAAAATCAATGTGATAAAATAAAATTAAATTAAAAAAATCCATATCAGCCACTCTCAAGCCTGACTCTTTTAAAATCAAATTGACAAAAACATTTGAGCTAAAATAAAATAAAGTTAAGTTAAATTAAAAACATATTCTGTATTAGCCACTGTCAAGCCTGATTAAATAAAAATTTTCAAAAATAGATGTGCTAAAGTAAACCAGAATAAAATATTCTGCATCAGCCACTGTCAAGCTTGATAAAATTAAAAATGGACAAAAATATGTGCCAAAAAAATAAATAAAAAAAACAAAAAAACAAACAAACAAAAAAACAAGACAAACCAAAAAAAAAACAAGACAAAAAAAAAACACCCCAAAAAAAAAGACAAAACAAAAAACAAAACGAAAAACAACAAGCAAAGCAAAGCAAAGCAAAGCAAAGCAAAACAAAATAAAATAAAACAAAACATGTTTTATGGGACCAGACAGGTCAATCACAGCTACTGTTTGCTTGATTACAACTCACCCTAACATTCAAAACCTTCTCAATATAAATGATCACATCCAATCAGAAGCTAATTCCCACATCAACACAATCACAGACAATGAAGTCACAGCGCCACACTCACCGTCATGATTGGCATTCCCAAGCGTCCAGGGCTCATCGGAGTCAAAGTGTGTGTCTCCACCGATACCCGGCCCGGGAAAATAAGCATGCGCTAAAAACCCTCCCTCTCCATCAAACGGAGAGCTGTCGCCGTGAAAACCCGAGGCAAAGAAGATCATGATGTCGGCCTCTTTGCCCTCGTTCTTGATCTCCGAATAGGCCACTTCCTGAAAGCTGAGCGGCGTCACCGTCTGCCACACGTCGAACGCCTGCCGGATGGCCCTCTGCGTGTCCTTCTCACCAACTTTCGGCGTGAAGTTATGGATGCTGGAAACAGGAAGAAGAGTGATGCATGCACAATACTATGTCATGTAAGGAATAAAGTACATCCAGCCGGTTGTTATCTCTTCAAGTCTCAATTGTTAACTCTCTTTCCAGTCTCATATTAATAATATTTAAGCTTCCCATTGAAAATCAACTAGCTACAATGGCTGCTTATGGGTTCTAGCTTTAGACTGAGGTACAGTTTGTCAAGATTACTCATGTTTTTTTTGGTGAAATATATTCGCAAGCACTGAAATTTGCAAAAGCAGCACCCCAGTGCATCCACGTCCTGACGCTGGCTAAAAGGTTTAAATATGGTAAACACAAAAGTTTAACTCTAGATGGCTTGGAAAATGTGCCTATTTCCAAAAAAAATTGGTTAAAGCCTTTAAATACAGTCTTGTATCTTTTTCAAATTATCTCGTATCTGCGTCAAGTCTAAGTTTGTAATGTTGTAGTTTACCTCTTAGCTTGATGGTTTGGTTAATGGCTTGTATTTCTTTAACAAAAACTTTAAGCTTTCGAAAACAAGTTTTAAGTAGGCAGTGCATTTCAAGCAATCTCTTCACCGCTGTGATGAAAGTAGAGATGTTGTTTCGGTATGAATTAGCTCTGAAGCGGATGCTGTTTGAGTGCACAGCGCTGTGCTGTTACATAAGAATTAATCTGCATACAAAAAATTTCTTGAATATAGGGCAAAAGTTAAACCAGGCCAGACACCGAAGGCAAAAGCAGATGGCTGTCTCTGGCATACAACTGCAGGCACTCGCAAGTGAGAATATCATCACATCTGATTAACCAGAGACCGAAAACTCTGCATTAGATGACTAACTGAAATTAATAGAGCTTAAAAACAGACGAATGTTTGCAAATTATCTAAATGCGTTCTTGTTTATGCCAACAGGAATGCACCGCAACTAAACTGTCCCGAATTTCCTTCAGTTCGGCTCATATAAGCTCAATCTGCATCATAGAGACGGGAGAAATAGTTTAATGTCAAAACATGCCTTTTCCTATCTACCGAGGTTACTGCATCTGTTGTACAGCTTATTTTTGTCTGTACATTAAATAAAGGGTCCTGCTTTTTTCCTGACCAAACAAAATGGCAAAATAATAAATTAGTACAGGCACAGTTTAAGGGATAGTCATATAACTTTTATTTCACATTTTTCGAGTGCCTTGGACTTACTTTTGCTGTTTATTTTGATGAATCCCTTACCCAAAGAGCACCGACACATTAATTAAGCTACCCCTGAGCACTTTTTGTTTGATTTTGAATTCAAGAGTTCACACTTAGCTGATGATTGATTATAAGCAAGTTTGGCATGCTGTCCCGGGAGAGAGCCCTGAGCTCGAAGGTTCTTGAGCCCTGGGCTCCCTCCCGTTTGGAGGAAGAGAGGGGAGCCTCGAGCTCAGGTAGATCTCGACAACTCCCCTTTTTATAATAGCTAAAGATTAAGATGAAGGCTATTAAAAGATATGCTGCATTATTAGATTACCTGTATTGAAATTTAGATTTAACGATTAACTTGTTGTACATGTTTTTGGAATGTGGGAGGAAACCGGAGGACCCGGGGAAAACCCACGCAAGCACGGGAAGAACATGCAAACTACACACAGAAACGACCACCGGCCTGTTAAGGAACTAGAACCGGTGACGTTCTTGCTGTGAGGCGACAGTGCTAGTCACTGAGCCACCGTGCTGCCCTATGGAGGGAAAGGTGAAAAGGTAGGGGTGAAAGGGGGGATTCTTCAAATCGAAGATGACTGTAGTGAGAAAACCCTGGCTCTTTATAGTGGTTAGGAATGGCCTGATTGGTGGATCAAGCATGCTAATGCAGAACCAGCCGTGTTCAATCATAATCACGTGCTCCTCTCGAAATTAGTTTATGAATAAACTTCACTAAATTATTAATTCATCCATTTTTTTTACCAGCTTAGTCCCTTTATTCATATGGGGTCACCACAGTGGAATGAACCACCAACTTATTCAGGATATGTTTTAAACGCAGCGAATGCCCTTCCAGCCACAAACCAACACTGGGAAATTCACACTTATACACTACAGCCAATTTAGCTAATTCAATTCACCTGTATCTCATGTCTTTGGACTGTGGGGGAAACCGAAACACCCGGAGGAAACCCACGCCAACACAGGCAATACATGCAAAGTTATCTTCAGGGTGGAGTTAGTTAACTTTTTGTTTATTATTTTGGCTTTGCTCAGCCCTGAAGCCATTTTGTTTACACTCCTATTCTTTGTTTTTTGTTAATACAAACTTTTCCCTTCTATTTCCCACAATTAAATCATACCCAGCTAACTGTTTATTTATCTATTTTCTTTCACTTATGTTTCAACCTCAGCTCTAGACATTTGCGGTCATGACAACATACATTAGTCTTTTTTTGTAGAAAATCCAATGAATTATACTATTTGTAATAAAAGCGATATGCCTAAGGTTTCAACCTTCCAGTTTATGGTTTAGAACTATAAAATAACTAGGCTAAGTGTGTTTTGGGGGTAAATAGCAAAGAAAACCACTCAAGGTATCAGCCAACATCTACTTCTGTCTGTCTCCTAAAACAAAAGCACTATCACGGCTTGAGGGAAGCATTTTACCTGTGTCTGTCTGGAACATTGCACAAGTGCCGTGTGTTTCAAAATTCACAACGCAATATGCACTTACATAATTACAGGTAAGAGTATAAATACACTCCGCAGGCCTAATGGGTCGCCATTAAATAGAATCAAATCATGACCGGCTAGTTACAGGTATTAAAAAAGTTTTAGAGCTCTTCCCTGAAATGAACTACTATAGTCATTCATCTAGAAAGAGTCAACAAATTCATATAGAAATCTAATACATGGAAATAATTGGAAATGGAGTTATGTATACACTTATAAATGGAGTTTTGTTTTGATGGAGCTTAGTCTATATAGAGCAGGGGTGAGCAAACTCGGTCCTGGAGGGCCGGTGTTTTGCACAGTTTAGCTCCAACACTAATCAAACACACCTGCTTATAGATTTCCAGTGATGTTAAAGACACTGATTAGCTTGTTTAGGTGTGTTTGATTAGTGTTGGAGCTAAACTGTGCAGGATACCGGCCCTCCAGGACCGAGTTTGCCCACCCCTGATATAGAGCATACCTGTATATTCATCTATGCATCGGGTAAGCTTTGCTCTGAACATGTACTTTACCTGTATGTGATCTTTTTGTCTCTCCACTTCTGACCGGTGAGAGCGTATCGTTTATTTCGCCTCCGCCGACTGATGTGAGGGTGATCTGGAACTCCACACCGAGGTTTTCTCATCCACCTTGCAACAAAGAACCGCAAGGGAAAAACTTTTACGTTTTGGGCTACATCGTTGTTGTTTAAAGATATATAAGATCTTGTGAAATGGCCATATTAGGACATGTTAAGTAAGGTAGGTTGTTACTAACTCGATGGTTGTTTGGTCGAGGATTCCTGTCACTGGAATACCGTAAAACCGCTGCATGGCAGCGACCGCCGACTGCATGGCTTTCTCCGATCGCAGGTCTGATGTGCGGATGTCATGAGGGAGCAGGTAGCCATAGTTCTTCAGCCATGTCTGCAAAGAAAAGAGAGATTTATATTAATTTTAGCATTTAAAGAATCATTTTTAAAAAAGTCATAGCGTTATAATTTTCAGCTAAACATACTGTTTTGCACAAACCAGGCTCATTCTAAAAAAGTACCTCTTTACATTTCTGGAGAGCGCCAAATATGTCCCAGGAGGTATTGTTTTTGCAGTTTTTGTTTTCGCGAATCCACCAGAGGTCGCTGTGTACACTTTTTCAGATCTCAAATTTCTCTCACGAGTGCCATCCACACCTGCTGTTCCCATGTAAATCCACCAGAGGCCGCTGTCTATTGACTGACTGACTGATCGATCAATTGACCCCTCCTTCTTCCTTAAATCCAGCCAAAAGTGTTTTCAAAAGCAACATTTGACCCATCCATCCACTTCCCTAAACCCAACCGACAGTTTTAAAAAGCAATCCAGAAAAAGAAAAGCCCTCACCTGATTTTCACCACATTTACAGATTTTACCACATTCTCACCCTATTATTTACTTGTTTATTTTATTTTTTGGCTTTTGTTTTTGTTTTACCTAATTCCTAGAACCGTTTTTCACCAGACTCAAACTCTGCATCTCAAGTCCGCCGACATAAAAGGCGAGCTAATGGATAAATTGGTCAAACAGTGGAAAAGCAATTCATACGGAGGTAAGCTCTCAGCTGGTAAGAGTGAAAAGGAACAGCATCATACCACTCTCTAGCATTAGTTTTAAAAATGACATGCGGCCATACATACTTTTGGCTATATAATTTGTGATCTCCAGAAATGTATATAGGCCTACATTTTCAGAATGAGCCTATGTTGCAAGTTCTGCATCAGCAACTTCTCAATAATGAGTCATAAATGAATAAAGAAATTCTTTAAACTTTCAACTAAAGAAAACACAAAATAAAAACAGCCCATTACTCTGAAATGTTTTAAAAAGTCATAAGATAAGTCACTCTATTTCATTCATTTATTCATTTTCTTTTCGGCTTAGTCCCTTTGTTAATCAGGGGTCACCACAGCGGAATGAAACCACAACTTATCCAGCATATTTTTACGCAGCGGATGCCCTTCCAATTGCAACCTTTCACTGGGAAACATCCATACACACTCATTCAAACACATACACTTTGGACAATTTAGCTTACCCAATTCACCTATAGCACATGTCTTTGGACTGTGGGGGAAACCGGAGGACACGGAGGAAACTCATGCCAACTTGGGGAGAAATTGCAAACTCCATACAGAAATGCTGTGAGGCAATTGTGCTACCCACTGCACCACAGCATTGCCCACTCTATTTCTATAACCCAAATAAAATGGCCAATTTCTATTGTAAACTTGTGTACTTGCACCAAACCTTTCAGGAACATTTCAGTTTTTTTGTTTTAACCATAACCAAACCACAAAATGCGTATTTTTTATTGATACAGTGTCTGTTACATAAAAAATAGATTTTTTTTTCATGTTGAGCTTGTTTTGTCAACATATACATTCAGCAAAAAAAAAAACAATTCTCAAAAGGGTGTTAAATGGGAAAAAAAGACCAAATTTTATACATCACTTTTTTCATAATATTATTTCAAGAGTTCACACTTAACTGATGACTGATTATAAAGCGTGTTTTGCATGCTGTCCTGGGAGAAAGCTCATAAGATCCTCGAGCCCGGGGCTCCCTCCAATTTGAAGGGCGAGAGGGGAGTTTGAGCTCTGCTAGGTCTCGAGAACTCCCCTGCTTGTGAACGTGCTGAGTTATAACTACCTAAGAGTTTGTTTAAGATGCTACTTTGGAGTAGTCAATTTACTTATGGCAGGAGTCACCAATCTCGGTCCTGGAGGGGTTAGCTCCAACTTGCCTCACCACACCTGTTGGGATGTTTCAAGTATACCTAGTAACACCTTGATTAGCTTGCTCAGGTGTGTTTGATTAGGGTTGGAGCTAAAATCTGCAGGACATCGGACCTCCAGGAACAAGTTTGGTGACCACTGACTTAGGGTGTATATTTTTGGACGGGAGGGAATCCGGGAAAACATGCAAACTCCACATAGAATTGGCGACCAGCCTGGTGAGGGGCCAAACCAGCGGCGTCCAGCTTTTGCAGCTGGAAAGGCATCCGCTGTGTAAAACACATGCTGGATAAGTTGGCGGTTCATTCCGCTGTGGTGACCCCTGATCAATAAAGGGAAAGCGAAGGGAATTGAATGAATGGGCCCTAATGATCAAACACGTACATAAAGTGCATGTTTACAGTACAAAACAATAGGAAAAAAAGTAGTGTATTGGAGAGCAAAAACACATTCTGTGTGAACGAACCCTAACGATACTTTTTCGATATACTATGCAGCCCTGGTAAAAATAAAGCTGATCTTATATAGAGCACGGTCCTCCTCATCCTCTCGTTCGCTCCTCTGTCGGCTTTCATCTCTCCCTGCGGACGAGCCCGATGGAGGACTAGTAGGCAGAAGCCCTCGTTTTAAAGCACTCTTTAATTGAGCTCATGGCTTGCAGTCCATTTTCAGCATGAATATTTTAATGCAGGAGTTTCTGCTCCTTTGCTCCTGCAGCGTGAAGCTGGAACGTCACAAACACAGAGTCAATGCCTTCCAATGGAAATCAATCTTTGGGTCGCTAGACACACTTCAGCGTTTCTATATCTGAAAGAGCCATGTAGAGTTCATTAGAAATAAAAATAGTGCTCTCCTCATACTACCGGTGTGTGTTATTATGAGCTGTTTTATGATTTAAGGTCTATTATATCATTAAAACAAGCAACAACTAACATTTAAGGAAAGGATTTAGATTCAAAGATCATTAAAAACATCAAGCAATCACATAGAATACACTAACAATCCTTTAATTAATATATTAACGGTAAAGCTGACCTAAAAATTTATATAATTTTCTACATTTACATGTTTTAAGCCTTTAAGTGTTTCTTTCTTCTGTTACAAACAAATGCGATTCAAATGCATGAAAATAATGTAGACTCAGACAACATTAGCATTATTTAGCGTGTTGTAAAAGTAAAATCAATGCTCAATCAAGCTATCTTTAATGTTCAAATGCAGTGCATGAAAATAATGCAGACTCATACACAACATTAGCATTATTTAGCGTGTTGTGAATGATAAAATCTATGCTGAAATTAAGCTATTTTTTTTACAGTTCAAATGCAATGCATGACAATAATGCAGACTCATACACAGCGTTATTTAGCATGTTGTGAGTGCTAAAAACAATGCTAAAATCAAGCTAGCTTCACTGTTCAAATGCAGTGCATGAAAATATTGCAGACTCATACACAACATTAGCATTATTTAGCATGCTGTGAATGCCAGAAATCAAACTTATTGTGTTGTTCGATGTTCAAATGCAATGCATGAAAATAATGCAGACTCATATATCCTACCCCATAAGCATTATTTAGCATGTTGTGAATGCTGAAATCAAGCTAGATTCACTGTTCAAATGCAACTCAATAAATTAATGAAGGCTCATACACAACATTAGCATTAGCATGTTGTGAATGCTAAAATCAAGCTTATCACGCTCTTCACTGTTCAAATGAGTCTGCATAAAAATAAAGCAGCCTCATACACAAAACTAGCATTATTTAGCATGTTGTGCTTGCTGAAATTTTCACTGTTTAAATGCAATGCATAAACATAATGCAGACTTACACATAACGTTAGCATTATTTAGCATGTTGTAAATATAAAATCAATGCTAAAATCAAGCTATCTTTAATGTTTAAATGCAATGCATGAAGAAATGCAGACTCATACACAACATTAGCATTATTTAACATGTTGTCAATGCCAGAAATCAAACTTATTGTGTTCTTCACTGTTTAAATGCAGTGCATGAACATAATGCAGACTCAAACATGACAACGCTAGCCTTATTTTGCATATCCCGAATGCTAAAACTTAAAACTTCATATGGCAGCAGAGTATACACCCTTCTTTGACACGGCTGCTCAGCCTCCATGGTAACAGAGGCTCTGCACGGCCCCCTGGGAAATCGTACCCATTAAATAATTCACCAGTGCTGTTACTGGTGCCATCATTATAGCATGGCACACAGCGAAGTCTGAAACCAGCGCTAGACCCAACAATACAAGTATTCATCGGCTTTGATGAATCAATGAAGACTCTGAGATCTGAAGAGCACAAAAGACTGTGAAAGCTCAGCTCCGGGGAAGAATAGGCCTTGTTTAAGCTGCAGGACTATTTCCGTTCTTGCACTTCGTAGGATTCAGAGGAACTGAGTTTAAAGTTAGAAGTCCACATTTCACTGGAAATACGAGTGATGAATTATTCTTGTGAGCGGCATTGACGTCACGAAGGGATGAAGTAATAATATAGAGAGGCTGCTGCTGGATCATGTTCATCATTCTCAACTTGACTTTCTAAAACATTCAACTTCAGAATCATGTTCATATAATAATAATAATAATAATAATAATAATAATTCATTCTCTTTTAAGCTTAGTCCCTTTATTAATCCGGGGTCACCACAGCGGAATGAACCGCCAACTTATGCAGCATATGTTTTACACAGAGGATGCCCTTCCAGCTGCAACCTATCTCTGGGAAACATCCATACACACTCATTCACACTCATACCTACTGCACCACCAATAATAGCAAACGTCACAGTGTAAAACCAAATACACTGTGACTAACAAACACACATCATCTTTGTAGTGTTATCTGTATTGTGCATGTGTGTTTGTGTAATGTGTATATGTTGTTTTATTGTCAAGAGTAGCATTGTGCTTATGTAAAAATCCCACTTCTGACACCAACTGTTACGATAGACCAGGTGGATGGAGGCGTGGGTAGTTGTAGGAGAAGGTTGTATAGTGCGAGAGATTGTTTAACAGATTTGTTCAGGTCATAACTTTGATTTAGCTGAACAATCCTGTAAAATACTTTGTAAATTTTGTATAGTTTATTCTTCTTTATTGTTATTTTGTCACTTTCACCTTTTTGCTAGAT